GGTGTCGGTCAGGATCAGTACGATGACCTGGTCGGCACCTCATAAAAACGTAAGGATCGGTGTCGGCCAGGATCAGTACGATGACCTGGTCGGCACCTCATAAAAACGTAAAGAATGGAAGAACGGGCTCAAGCGCGAAGCTCGACAAGGCCAAACCGCAATCCGACTCGGACAGGTAACGCGCCCCCATGAGTAATTAATAAGCGCCGAGCTCAACCACGAAGCTCGGCCCCATAATTAATAAGCGTCAAGCCCAATCTCGAGGCTCGGCCAAGTAACAAATAAACGTCGAGCTCAATTGTGAAGCTCGAACGGGTAATGCGCCACCATAATTAGTGCGATAAAATTGCACAAGCCAGGCTCGGCAAAGGGGCCCGGTTAGGCCAAAGCGCCCTGAAACTAAAAACCAAACTCCAAACGCAGTTCGGCCGAACAAAGCATGCAACAAGGTGCTTTCATTTGACAAACATTTATCACATGCATTCATCATGTATTCACATACATTCATCACATGCATTCATCATGTATTCACATACATTCATCACATGCATTCATCATACATTCACGCATTCCTCATATGATCGCATTATGCATGCATTATCGTAAGGAACAAAGAGCTCAAAGCTCAATCGAACAAATGGCTCAAAGCTCACCCAGACAAAGAGCTCTAAGCTCACTCATGTCGACATAAAATGCATTCATGCATAAAAAACGGGTACCAAATCGCCCGACCAGGCCATACAGGCCCTATCCAGTCAGAAAAGTCGCCCATTCACTCAAACCGACTCAACTCGTCAAAGATCAAGCCGTGATTATCATCGTCACGTCAGGCCAAAGCCTAAAAAGATCAACAAGACGCTCAAGGGTCCCAAAGCACCCTAAAATTGCGTACTGAATCGTAATGAAATCATCATTTTTCGCCAAAAACCGACAAGATAAAAAGTGATCTCATGAATCACGCAAAAATTATCCGCCACTCGCGCTCATCTACATAATTGCAATTCCACCAATATCCCTCATTATGCGATATCCTAACACAATAAAAAAGAGCCAGAAGCTCAAGAGATCTTGAGGTAAAAATATTGCCAAATTGTAAAGATTAAACGCGACTTCAGAACAGTCCAATCAAGAACATGTCCTAAACTCGGGGGCCTCCTGTTGATACTCAATTTGGCTCCAATTAATTAAATGATAAACGAAATAATAAAATATGGCCCAATAACCGGAAAGCCAAAAATACAAGATAAATAAATATACTAGCAGGTACACAAGACTGATCATCTAAAAGCCGACTGGGCCCTCAAATGTCAAATCCGTCCATTTCCGAGAAGACCGACGTTAACCGGAACCGTCAAAAGTCATAAGCGGGTCCCACGATGATTATCTCATATTAAATAATGGTGTAATATTTTTTACTCATTGACTCTCCCATTTGTAAAAAAAAATGGCCATATATATAAATGGCTTAACAAAAAAGAAAAGAGAGATGAGTCATTTTTCCTCCCCCAACACTTTCTCTCTCTTTCACTCTCCAAAACAACAAGAAATAAAACATATATTTTTCATCATTTTGTTCTCCAATTTTGTTCAAGAAATCCGATTTTTATTTAACAGTTGATCGTCCGATTTTCGACATCAACAAGGGTAATAGGCTGTCTGTGCTACTCCTCTACTTTGCAATCTCATAGATCAAAATTTTCACCAAGGGCTTCAAAATGCATTCTTCTAGGTTATCCATTAGGTTGTAAAGGTTATAAACTTTACAACCTGGAAACCAAGAAAACATTAATATCCAGGCATGTAATTTTTTATGAAAATGTGTTTCCTTTTAAACTCATATATGATCCCACTATTTCTGAATCTCAGACTACCAACCTTATATCTGACTCTATGTTTCCTTCTCCCCCTCCATTTGTTCATGACACATTCCAAATTCCCACACTCATATCATCTACAAATCCTAATACAAACAACTCACTATCCACTCATTTACCTGATACTACCACCAACAACCCATCTATTTCATCTCAACCACCTGTTACTACATCTTCTGTTCCTCCTCAACCCACATCCACTACTTCATCTCCTGTCAGAAGATCATCCAGACAGAGACATTTACCTTCATACTTAGACAATTATCACCATTCCTTGCCATCCTCTTCCTCTGTCCAAACAGAAACACATTTATTACTGCCTGTAACACATCATCCTATTCAAAAATTTTTATCCACTGATCAATTATCTGGTTCACACATGTGCTTTACTACTTCTATTTCTCAAATTGTTGAACCAAAAACTTACAATCAAGCTTCAAAAGATCCTTTATGGCAAGAAGCCATGACTAAAGAATTGACAGCCTTAGAAAAGACCAATACTTGGCTTCTCACTGATTTACCAAAAGATATATAAGTCTGATGGCACAATTGAGAGATACAAGGCTCGATTAGTTGCCAAAGGCTATACACAAGAAGAGGACATTGATTATTTTGATACATTTAGCCCTGTTGCAAAAATTACCACTGTCAGACTTCTTATTACACTTGCATCCATTAAACATTGGCATTTGCATCAGTTAGATGTTAATAATGCATTTTTGCATGGTGATTTGGATGAAGAAGTATACATGACACCTCCTCCTGGTTATAATGCTGAAAACAAAGTTTGCAAACTCTTGAAAAGTCTATATGGCCTTAAACAGGCTTCTAGACAATGGTTTCACAAGTTAACTTCCTGTTTAATTTCATATGGTTTTCACCAATCTACTGCTGATACATCCTTGTTCACATTGTCCACTGATTCTTTTTTCCTTGCTCTGTTAGTTTATGTGGATGATGTAATCCTTGCTGGTGATAACTTAGATGAAATTAACAAAATCAAAACCCATTTGGACAAATGTTTTACTATAAAAGATCTTGGTAAGCTGAAATACATCTTGGGTCTTGAGATAGCACATTCTGACAA